CATCGTTGACTTATTGTGAGTTATGTATTATTTCAAGAAAAGTATTTTCCTTACCTTATAGCATTTCTTCGGATTTCTATCCATAAATACAAAATGGTTTTATTTCTAATGCTCATATTTGTCGTGAATTTCTTTCGATAACGAACGTTACAGATTTATTCATGAATAATTTCCTGAATAAAATTCATGATTCATTTACGTACGAATGAATTTTAAAACTTTATTCATTATTCGAAATAAAATTTGACTAACTTTGCCTCAATCAGAAATTAATCCCTTTTTGAACGAGCATGATGACAGACCAAATCCCAAGATCTTCCGCATTTATAGTGATATTAGGTGAAGTTGGATAAGTAGGTAATTTAAATTCAACTTGTTTTTCTAGATGAAATGAATCCTCTTATACAATGTATCAATCTTCACATAATTTACTAATAAATAACATTGATTACAATTTACAAGTTTCAAATTATAGACTATATATTTACAATAGATATTCAAAACTAAAATATCAATTATTAACCCAAATTTTGATTGAAAGATATTTACTAGAAAGGATCATGAAAATATTTCCAGTTTAAGTAATAAAGAAAAATAGAAAATAAAAAATAAATACACAATAATTCTCGGGCATAAATGTGTTAAGAATACATACAGCAATAAACATAGATGCATGGTAACCATGTGCCAACTAGCTATGCGAGATTTCCGTTTCTTTTCGATTCACTTAAATATACAGTCCAAAAAAAAATAAGGATTCATCTAAGAAAGGAAAACAAGTGGGAACTTGATTCAGGCTTACGGGTTCGATTCACTATTTCCGTTCGAATGATCGGCCGGTCGTTTACGAGGTGGCTAGCCAACGAGAGGAAATGCTTCTACGATGCGAATCATCGGCAACCGATGGCCAGATCTCTGTGTGAATTCGCACGTGTGCGTATATATACTCATGATATATATATTATATATATATACACACACACATACATACATATATCTATATACGAGTGTACATATACACACGATTGAATACGTGTACACGCACAGACGGAGAGCGAGGCGTAGTGTAACCGCACGTGTGTACACTTTACATATGTATACCTTGCACACGACGTATGTACACTGCGTAACGCCTATACGACAGCGGGCCGCGCCTAACGAACCGAAATGAATACCTACCAGTAGTCGTCGCGTGTGTGTATATGTACATATACATATCTATCTGTGTAGACACGCGGCGAAGACAGTAGTATCACACGTTTACACGCGAACACGTGTCTCCGTAGAGTATGAGAAGAGAGCAGCTCGCTTAATGCACAGGCATTAACGCTAATTGATGGATTGTTTTTAATATTTAACGCTTCGTTTCTCTTCCTTTTCCCTCCTCCTTCTGCTGACGTTTTTTATTTGCTATTTCTTTTTCTTCATATTTTACTATCTCTTTCTTGCTTACGTCATATATGGAGCAAACAGTTCGGTCCTACTCCGCATCTTCTCCATTGACCACGTCCTACGCGTAGCTTCGAATATCATGTACAATGCACACACATTGCGCCGGTCCAAACCGTATATATATTCGTAGCAGATATATACGCGTGTATTGCACAAAGCAGCACGTCGGCGACCGAAGAGAGCTTGACGACGATGACGACGACGCCGACGACGATAGCAGCGGCGGCGAAGACAACGGAGACGACGACGACGGAGACGAGTACGACGACGTCGGAACAACACGATCATTCGCGTATATAGCGAGAGAAGATCGAAGGAGAGTGAGAAAGAGGGGGAGGGAGGGGGGAAGGAGAAAGATGGAAGAGAAGCCTGTGAGATAGCCGTGCAGCCGACACATACGGTAGTCGCAGATCGGCGAGGCAGACAAGGGACTCGAGCAAGCAAAATGGAGGGCAGGCGAGCGTGGAATATAAAAGGAGGAACGTGAATTCATATCTCGTCCGGGGGATCTCGCTGCTTTGCTGCTGAGAGACTGTTTTCGTGGGACGGAGAGAGAAATCAGCGAGCGCGAGCGATGAAGGGAGACGGGATAGGAGAGAAAAGGGTGAGAAGGATGAAAGAGAAAGAAGGATTGAAGAGCCGAGAGGCAAGGAAAGACTGCGAGAAGGAGAATGAGAGACTCGAGAACAGCCGGCCGTGGTTGCTATCGTATCTGTCACGAGTGCGACGATGACGTTCGAATATCTCAACGATAGAGAAACAAGGAAGGAATAAGGTTGCGGTATAAGCGGAACGGAAACGGCAATCTGTTCGTGATAAGTAGGACGAGGACAGACGATTCAGTCCGCGTGGAGTTGGTGTCGAAAGGGCGCAAGAACGGACCAATCGGCGTGCTCCACCGACCAATCAAATCGCGAGTTACGAATCCACGCTTGACTACTATATACGTAGTCTCATCTCTCACCCGGGCCAGTCGTTCCCGAACCACGCAAGGAGGTAGTCTCTTTTGTCTCGCGGAGCTGTGAATACACGATGCGTATACACAATGGTCCCTGCTAAGGGTACCGCCGTGTACTCTGCCGTGTAGGCAGGTGAGAAAGTACGGAGAAAGAGGAAGGGAGGGAGAGGAGGGATAGTAAGAGAGCTGGGTACAAAATTCCCCGAGTATTCACCGGTATTACCATATAACGTGTGGTTTTTCGACTAGGTTTTTAGAGAGCGTTCCACGCCACGATGATAAAACCGTGCACAGATTAGTTCCGATTCTCTGGCATAGCGCGGCTGTTTGTAGCGAGTGTAAAATTATTCGTTGACTACTCCATCCGGAGTTGCCTTTTATTTTTCGAAACACTTCGTTAATATTTTATTTCTAATTTAAATTTTTCGATTTTTAATTTATTCATTTTTTTTTTTTTTTTTTTTTTTTTTTTTTTTTTTTTT